TTTACAATATTGACTGAATATTGATACCAAGGTACTGGTATCAGTATCAAAATCAAAATTTATCTATGCAGGGTCTCTGAACCATTCCAACCACTGTGCCTGGCTAGACATCATTCATTATGTCGGGTCCCCCTCTGTGAATTTCACCTACCCACTGGCAAATTTTGCCTACTGGGGGAGGATCTGACTGTGTAGCAGTCAATCACAACCGAACCATGTTTCCTTGCCACAGTTCAGACTAGTGATTGAGAAACCTGGTTCTATACAACTGCTTGACAGTACCATCACCCAGTGTTCACAACAGCCACCAAATGTGACATCAGAATGGTCAGACTGTCTTCCAGTCATGACCATGCTACTCCATCTAATGCATACCGATCTGGAGATGCTAGAAAATGACAAATCAAATCATGCAGTCACAAAGCAGGTGAGCCAATGAGATCTATATAAAAACTGTAGTTTCTCTGTTCCAGTAATAGAATATTGTAGATTAATGTGCATACACAGCATTTCTGATGTGATCATTCTGTATCCATCTTTCTTAAAAAGGAAATGTTCAGCATTAGGAGGCGTCTGAAAAGCTAGGGCTGGAAGACTTAAAATGGCTATTGCAAGATAATGCTCATAATTAGATCAGCCCTCCTGAATTTTCTTCTTTTGCTCTGCAGTTTCAACATAAGTTTTATATGATGTTCTTCAGCATGTGGTGCTTGAATGCACAAGGTGTGCCCATATTGTGTACATATTTTGTGTGACTCCTCATTGGTTAAATTACTGTGCCATAGTTGTACAGTACATGCTTGTCATTTGTTGGTCACCCAGGAACCTCTTCCAAGTCTGAAAAAAGTACTGTCTCCACCCTTTAATACTGCTGGTTATGGGGACATCTTACCCATCAATGGCACCTACTTTAGCACTGTACACAATAAGGCTGAATGATTTATTGATTTCAAATCTAAAACTTTCAACTGAATACGTATACTGATACTGACATTCATACGTCAGCCTGTTCCCACTCTTGCTCTAAATAACAATCTTCAAACACACTCTTATAAAAGTATTGCAGACATAGGAAATCTACTGAGACAGGTGATTGACATGAGAAGTGAGATAGAAAATGCTGACAATTTCTTTAACGTATTTAATTTGGCAACAGATTGCACAATTTACACTAAGAAGTTTTAGAGAATAAAACAAAGAAACAGACAAGTGTAATTCATGTTGGCCACAGATTTCAGCAGGGTAGCACTGCTGAGTGTGCAACTGGCCCAAAATTTCTTTTATACATTTACTTGTGTTTTTTCTTCCTTAAAAATAAATAAATAAATTGGTCGTATTTCCAAGAGGTTGTAAGTGGCATAAGGGGGAGGGTTGTAAGAAACCAGTCCTTCAGAGGCTTCGCCTGAAAAGTCACTAACATTCTTGTAGCCTTAGCACAGTGGTTCCCAAACTTTCTCTGCAGGGCCCCCCTTTTCTAGATAGGAACATTATTGAGCCCCCCATTCAAACTACAGTACACAGGTTCAGATTCAAACTTTATTTGAAATACAACTCCCTTTTCTAATTGAGCGAAACAAATGCAATTACAAACTACAAATGGTGCAATTTCACCACTATGGGGGAAAAAAGAGCAATCAATTAAAAATAAAAGTCCAGTATAAGTTTGAAATCATGCAAATGCAGATTTAACATTCCTGTTAATATTCATTGGCGTACACAAATTATAGTTTGTCTTACGATTACCGCATTTTGTTTTTAATGATAGCCGCAGGTTTCAGCCTATACTATAGCACAAAACAACACTAAATCATACATGTAGAAAATTTTAAACCTCATTTTTCATGATATGGTTAGATTTTTTGTCCGGCGCTGCAAAACGTCTTCACGTGTCACTATGTCACATACGGTACAAAAACCTTGCAAGAGCAAGACGACTTAAGACAGATCGTACAGCACCTGTCAGCCGGCTGAACAAACTGGAACAGACTCCGTGACGACACAACTTTGCCCTTATTGGCTGAAGAACGTGACGTTTGTATGACGTTTGTATCCCAAGAAGTTCCGATGCGTTGTCTGCTATTTCTCCCGAATATCACGTAAAGCAGTGAGAACTGGTTTTCAGTTAATTTACCTGGTAAAATAAAGTTTAAATAAAGAACATAAATGATCTAATAGCAGGGCTGTGGAGTCGGAGACAATTTTGGGTACCTGGAGTCGGAGTCGGAAAAAAGTTAACCGACTCCGACTAAATTTAATTAAAAAAGTAATTAAAAAAGTAAGTTGAAATGTCCCAATTCACAAACAGTCATAATGAACTACTTCTCTGCTGTAAGAATAAAGCCCAATGCATGCAGTGCATAATGTTACCACAAAACGAACATGTCAAGTAACCATGAAGCATGCTTTTCATTGACTATGCGTCACTATATGGGATGTAATGCACAGGTAAGGTGCGGCACTGCTTTCCATTGTGTCGTGTTCCACTGTTACAGGGAACTGTGAACCTAGCCTAAAGCCCCCCATACATTTACAGATGCACTGCCGATTTTTCGGCCGTTCAACGAGTCATCACGCGTCAAACGTCTGAAAAATCATCTGGTGTGTTCTCAGCTCCGTCGGCTCCCCTTCGCTATGCGCTAATGAAGGGGGCCGAAGGAGCCGAGAACACAGATCTCCCTACCTGTCTCCAGCAGAGGCTCGTCCTGCTGATCAGCTGGCCGGTGAGTGACACAATGCACTAAACTTCCGGCTGGCTGACAGAGGAGACAGCCACTGCAGCAGACAGAGGCATCACATTACTTTGGATGGTGGTCGAGATTTTCGGCAAGCTGGATCTGCCCGTCCATGTGGACACCCGCAATCTGCGGCCGCCAATCAATTGCCGCGATTGTACACGCACATCGGTCGGTGGCAAAATCCTTGTTTTCATTGTGTTTGTCTTTAATCTGGCATTATAGTAGAGTGTTGGCTTCCTAGCCAGTAGTTATGTGGTGAAATGACATGTACGTTGCCTTCCTTTCCTTCAATGGATGTAGAAAATACATTAGCATAGTATATACATACAGAGGAGTCGGAGTCGGGGTCGGAAGATTTAGAAACTGAGGAGTCGGAGTCGGAGCATTTATCTACCGACTCCACAGCCCTGTCTAATAGTACACGTAAGTTAGTGGTTTATTTATTGTTAGTTACTGTAATGTTGCGCTGCTTTATTTGTTTAATCGTCCAGTCTGTGAAGAGATTATTTTAGGGTGGCAGATGTCCCTGAGGCTATCCCATTGGTGCGCCCCCCCCGCAATACCTCTGTACCCCCCTAGGGGGTCACGCCTCCCAGTTTGGGAACCACTGCCTTAGCGCAACATACTGTAAACATGATGGCTAGCTGTTCAGCAACACGTGTGCGTTGGAGCAGTCATGTCAGCTGTGTGGAAATACAGTAAACCTTCACAGTCGCATTTCACAGTTGCAGCTTTGGGTATTTGTGAAATGGTCATGAACAATTAAATAGGAATATTTTTGGAGCTTGCTGAAAGATGACAGAAAGTCGCAGATGATGCATAAGCCAAAAAATACTGAAAATTATTTGGATCACATAAAAATCACAATATATAAATATTAGTAATAAAAAATATTTGTTAATGTAAGTGCATTCTATATCTTTAATATTAAAGTCTCAGCAACCGGCCTCACTCACATTAGTCGTCTCGCAGTAGCTTTCAAACTTTTCACTGCTGCTACTTTTGAATATTTTAATAATGGGTCCAAAACATACTGCTACCACTGTATACAGTAGTAAGTTTGTACATACAGTGGCATTATTTAGATGGTTTGTATATTATACTGATAGGAAAAGAAAGTAATATGCAAAATATACAGCAAAGTACTGTTTAAAAATAAAGAAACATTTTAAGCTATCATCTAAGCTGGCAGATTCTTATGGGTTGACGTTAGGGATGCCTATTATTCACAAATTTTGTCATTTGCAAGGGTTAGGGGTGTACTTTACACTGAAAAAAAGGCAGAAAAAAACAAAATGGAAGAGTATGCAAAGCTATGCCTGAACACAGAAAAATTCTACAAATTAGATGTCTTGAGACTTGTAGTTTGGTCAATTACTATGTAACAGTTTTATCTGTGCTACTTGGTATATTTTGTTCTAGAGCCTTATGTGAACTTTGACCTGAAATGGTTAGTGATATTTTTATGATTGATTTCTTTAATATATTTAATTTGGCAACAGATCTCACTAGTTATACTTTCAGAAATATGTCTGTTCATTTTTGTGAAAGGTTTTACAGAATAAAACGAAGCAGCAGACTAGTGTATTTCATGTTGGCCATTGATTTCTTCCTGTACCATACGGGCATAGCTTTTGTTTGAGCAACATGATCATCATATTTTCCAATTCTTATCATACTCAAACAATGCTGCAACAACACTAAATGCAGACAGTTTGGCATATGAATTTAAATGTATGGATACAAATATCTCAGTTTAGTTGATATGGGGAAAAAAATAGTGGATTTGTATCGGCAGATGCTCAAAATTTCAGTATCACACACACACACACACACACACACACACACACACACACACACACACACACACACCATAAATCTAGACAATATGGTTTGCCAGGATGAATGGATCGGGCAGTGTCAGAAAAAGTAATGCAGTGTATGCACAAGCAGCGCCAAAAAAAGCGACGTGGTCTATGTATGCTCAAAAATACTGCGCATGAGCAGACATGTGAGGTACAAATCAGGTGGTTGGTATGGATTAGGTAGTGTCATACACCCCACAAAGCTCCATTTACCCACACCTTGTCAAAAAGTGCAAAGGGAAAGTAGTATTACAAAGCACATAAAGTACAAAACAATGAGTGTCGAAAACTTTTTATATATATATATATATATATATATATTATATTATATATATTTTTTTTGGTTCATGCAAAACCGTTTAGCAGAGGAACAAAACAGCACTGAAAAATGTTATATATATTTTGAAAATAAGCATTTAACTGAACAATCTGATTGTTAAATACCATTTACATTTCATTTCAGGTAAACTTTAGTCAATATGTATTTAGTCTATATCTATTTTCTAAGAATCAAGAATTTATTTTGCAATGGGGGGAAAAAAAGGATCAGAGGAATGTGACTCGTAAACTTGGTAACACAGCCACCCTGCAGCTGGGCATGCATATAGGACAAATACAACAGATTACGGTATACAGAGGGACTACAGTCTAGGAAAAGAAAATGTAAGTGAATTTTAAAAGGTTGCTATGTGTTTTTATGATAATTTGACACATATTTTTAGTTTTTTAGAATCTAAACACTTTGACCTGTGCAATGTGTGAATGTACAAAAAGTTTAATTGTTTTAGATTTGGAAACCGGTTTATCTGATTCACTGCACAGAAATGGCTCAAAAGAACAATTCGTACAAGAATCGGACATCACTATTGTTCACTTGGATAGCTGTTTTTGCATGCCAGTAGTTTCTTGCCATTATCATATCACACTGTAGTTCACATAATGCTTTTCTTTAATTACAAGCATCTAAAAATCATGCAAATACAAATGCAATTCCACATTGCATTGGACTTGGGTACTAATATATCAATCACGTTACAACGGATTTTCAGTGTGAGACACGTTATAGCAGGACTGACTGCAAATAGTACATAAAATTTTCGTTTTCCTCTGAATTTTTGTACTTAATTTTTATGTACCTTTACTTTAAATGTCAGTTTATTGGTAATTTCGCTGCTTTTACTTTTTGAGGAACGCAAAACTTTGTCCATGCGTAAGTTCATAGTTTGGCCAATTAATAATAAGAAGTGGTTGTGTAATACAGATATATTTTTAGAGGGGTTTCTAAGTTAATTTATATTACAGCCGTTTATGATTTACGTTGTTAAAACTGCTAGTGTTTTGGATCATATTCAGTTAACGAAAGAAGCAAATTAAGTCATTCACCTCAAATACATCTTTCACCTCAATTTTTTACTTAATACTTAAATAACCATGTCAGCACTATAACTAGTTGGGATGTCAGTGAAAGGTTTAAAAGTCATTGCTAAAGTAATTACTCAATATGCAATTGTTTCTCTGATAGTAGTGTAACTGGATAGAATGACATGTGTGTACACCAGCATAGATTATTTCTATACATAATGAATTAGTCCATTCATCTTCCAACCGCTTGTTCAGTAAAGGGCTACAGAGTACTTCAAACAATTAAGTGGTCTACTTATCTGTGAGCAAGAAAATCAGAAATGACTCTATGCAAGCCATATTTATACTGCTGTTCAGATAAACAAGCATGAAAATAACATTCAGAAATATTCAGGAATCATTACCTTCTCTACATCCTTGATTCTTCCTCAGTTCTTCTACTTCTCAAAAGTAATGCTTGCATACACGTTTAAATCAGAGTTATTGCCATTCTGTGAATCCAAAGGTTTGGCTATTTGAGAGTTTAACTCCAGAGGGTTTTGATCTTTGAGTAGGTCCAAATAAATGTAATTAAGGCTATCCTGGGGAGAAGGTCCAGTCTCACAAGACATGCCATTTTTTTCTTGAGTTGCCAACTCACAGGGTTTTAACCAAACATTTTCAAAGGATGCAGAGCTGTCGCACTTCCCGTTTTGCATGCTGAATGGTGCCATTATACCACATGCCACTGCTGTTGATGAAAAGGTCTCAGAACCATGTCGACACTGGCCCTGTGGATCCACTCGAATGACTCTGGTACCCTGCTTTTGGTTGGAGCTGGAACTCACTCTGGTGAAAGCACCTAAGCCAGATGTTTGGTTCATCATCCCAGGAAACCCATTCAATGCTACACCTTCATGCCTGGGTGATATAATGTTTGATGGGGCTTCAGGAGCAGACCTGTCCATTTTGGGGTTTCTGAGAATCAGATGTTCCTCAGCGTGGTTCACACAAGTGGATCTCAACTGCATACTGACATAATCGCTGCTCTGTAAGTCATCACTGCCAAGAACAGAAAGGGAAGGAGCTTCTACAATGGTTGGCTGATCTGCAGAAGCCAATATTTTGTCTGAACGGCAAAGATTACTGCCAGAACCCAGTTCTGTATTCATGTACTCAGAAAATTGTTGCTCAGATCTCTCACAGCTACCATCTAAACACACAGGTAGGAGGGACACCAGGCTTGCTGTGGAGGACTGATCATTGAAGTCAATGTGGACATATTCTCCTGGGCTTTTAGGTTCATTTGGGAAGGTGTTTTCCCTGGCACGTGGAAGCGTACCGGCTTTGCAGTTTTCTAGAAAAAGGTGAGTTGGTCGTTTCGGTTGGCCCAAAAATTCTACCTTTGTGGGTGTGACTATTTGTTGCCCACCATTTCGTCCCCCGAGACTGTCACTACTAGCAGAGGAAGAGGAAGACTCTTCCAACTGGACAGAAATGACAGACAAGGGCCGGGGTGTCTGATGGTGTTGTCTATCTCTATGCCTAAAAGAGCGAGGCAGGGAGTGGTAAGAATTAAGAGGATTGCATGGCTCCTCCAATGGGTGGAAGCAACAGTCTGCCAGAGAACTTTTGCTGGAGTAACTAGCTGGATACATGTTCATATAATCTCCAAAGGCCACCTCTCCATCGTTACTCTCCACTGAGAGTTTGGGATCGGTCCCGTTAGTCCAGATTTTGCTGTACTTTGTCTCTGGGGAACAACTTCCACTGGGTGACATCATCATATAGCCATGCATTAATGAGACAGGGTGGGCACTGATAATTTGCTGAGGTGCCGACACATTTCGAGGGCTCATGGGCATGTACTCATTACTTTTAGAAGGCTGAGGAACCACACCTGGGGACATGGGCATATACCCATCATCCTTGTGACCTATAGCACTAGCATCTGTTTGCAGATCCTGCTCAGGGTATGAATCTGTGGCTGCAAATGCTGATTGTCTATCGATGGGCATTCTGATGCACTGGTGTATTGGCATCATTACTGTATATGAACCTGCAGAATCCTGAGAGGGGTTCTTCTGGTAGCAGGTAGTATTGACTAAGGCACCTGAAGAGTGTGTCCTCTTCCTGAAGCCTTTCTCTGGCTCCGCTGTGCAAGACTCTGAACAACAAGACTGAAAATGTCCACTATATCCATTCAACTGCAGGCCAGCTGTTGCCATACATATGTAGCTACTGAGTTCCTCCTCTCTGGCAGGAGGTGTGTGCTCTATGGAATCTGGCGTGACACTATGAAATGAGCCCCTGAAGTCACAGGGACTTGATCCGTATTCGTCAGAAGAGATGAAGTCCCCATCACTAGGAGACCCAGAAACTGAGGTGCTGGAGCGACGTGGGTATAAGCCATCAGAGGTAGAACCATGGCCACTAGTACTGCTGGATGAAAGGCTGACTGGACTAGTAGCAGAAGGGGAACAGCAGGCAGCAGGCATGGGAGTGGAGCGACTATGGCTGAGAGGTGGGTGGAGCCTAGAGGAACCTCTAGGGCGGTGAGGGTGGGTCCGGGCAGTAATCGGACTTCCTGGACTCCCGTCCACTGATGCAGGGCGGGACATGGTTCCCTCGCCATCACTGGAAGCCCGCACCCTAAAAGAGTGACTGTGTTTTCCTGAAAAGGCAGGTGAACCGGCTGTGAGGCTCTCTGCCCGGGACCTTCGGCTGAGTCCCACCTGGCTGGGGGGTGGGTTGTTGTGATGATGCCTTCTCAGTGGAACGGAAATGGGATTGGAACAGTTGGAGGACTGACTTTTACTCCGAGGACGAAACTCTTCACTCATGGCTTTCATTGCCTCCAAGATTGTTTCGTGCATATTTTGCGCAACAACAGAGTCATCCACCTGCATCCAAAACTCTCCGGATCCCGTAACAGCAGATCGTCCTACTTCTATGAAAAAAAAATTCTCAGAGTGACCACAGCGCCTAATGTTCATTAACTGAAGCACGACAGCTGCAGCATCGGAGTTAAGTTTCACAAAGCTGATTGTTTTATTTGTCAGACACAGTCTGTAAATCCCAACCAAATTCTTTATTTGTCCTAAGCCCTTGGGTTTTAAAATAACTTGCCAGACGTCTTTGAAAGCAGGTCCGGGGGTGGCCTCTCCATAGTCCTCCACAGTTATGCTGTTCCCAAAAGGTGCATAGATCTTCCCTCTGTTATGCAGGTCAACTAGTGCCTCATACCACAGATCCTGCTCTTGCTCACTATCAGCTGCAACTGCAAAATACTCATCCTTAGTGTACAGAGCGATTAAATACTTGTTTTTGGAATCTACTCTTTTGTTAATATTAAAACAGTTATGTAGTAAAATTGACCTTTTGGGAGCCCCAGCCTTCTGGTTCCATTTTTTCTCATTTTCATAATATTCCAGTCTAGAAGGTCCTGATACAGTGGCAATCCGCAGAACAAAAAATCTCTTGTGCATGCTTTTAGGCTTCCTTAAATAGCCCACCTTTCTCACGTCTGAAAAACAACCCTGTTCTGTAACTGGATTTGCCATGTTGCTAAAACACCTTTAAACTTTTAAATATTTTATATTAATTCAAACTCGTGCACGACTTTAACAATGTTTACAGATTTAAAAAGCCATCGCCTTGCCTCAATTACAGGCTCACAACGCAGAGCCAAATAAACCGTCAGCACGGATATGTAGACCTCCCGTATAGTTGATTTCTTATATTAGAGTTTTTCATCTTCAATTCATTTTTTTTAAAAAAAGGTAATATACAAAAATCGGTACAATATTGTAAATCCTGAGTAGGGTGGGAGAAAAACCTGAAACGCACCCCCAGTTATGTCGAAAATCGTACATTTACTATCAAAGAAAGCATCGCCTATGTGCGACCCCATTTATTTAGCGAGACAATCCAGCCAATATTCTCTAACCACAGAAATATAATTAAAATAAATGCATGAAGAAATTTTTGTTAAATACTTGCAAAATCAGTAGCCCATCTGAGTACGACGCGGTATCCTTTTCCCACTCATTTCACTTGTCTAATATGTACCAAAACAAGGTGCTACGTCTTGTGTTAGAGTGGACACAATCATGCCTACTGCTCCAGCTCGTGCTGTAGAATAGTAACACGTGACGACTCGATGCGTGGACAGTTCACGGACGGATGCAACCTAGCTTGCCATAACGTCAAGCGGGCGCGCCCCGCCCCACCCCATAATCAGGAATCCCAAAATTGAGAGCGCTACTATCTTTAGAGCTATTCGGCGCTCTCATTGGACAAGGGTCACGTCATTCCACTAGAACCCCCCAAAATAGGTCCTTTGAAAGTTAGATGCAGCTTGAGGCGATGTAGTACGTGAAGGGTCGTTTCGCCTACAATAGAAGTGTTTTTTTCGCTTTTTTTTCTTTAAATACGGTTTGTAAATTGTTGCGGTTTTTACATTTGCCGGGGTGTGGCTAAACAGAACAACAACCTGGGCCGTTGACTCGTCAAATTTTCTGGACACTGACGATGTAATAGTTTTAAAGTACAATTTTAATGCATGTATACTTGGATGTCTATATATTTTACGTCTGTTCATTTCTGTACGTATTAACTGATGATTATTCTAACAAATTATGCACTTTGGGAGGCGAACAAGCACAAATGCTTTAGACAGGGAATCTCACAAGCCATAGCCAAATGTACGTGGTGTCGATTGTATTGTCTTTGGAAAATATCAGAGAGCGGCATGGCGGTGTAGTAGTTAGCACCTCAAACCCCTGGGACCGGGGTTTTGGTGTCCCCGTTTTGTCATGGGGTGTGCTCCGGTGTTCTCTCACAGTTCGAAAACATGTTGAGGTGAATTGGAGTTGATAAATTGTCATTGTGTGAGTGTGTGTACCCGTCTCAGGTTATTCCAAGCGGATATAGTAAATGGATGGAAAATATCAAACAGGAAATTCTAGTGGTTATTTATCAGTTATCATGAATTAATAAAAAGAAAACCCTGTCGTACCTCTATTTAACGGGTCATTCAGGTTTAGTTTTGTTTCTGTTTGAGCAGTTTTACTAACAATAACTGTTAAAAGGTTGGAGATTTATGAGCTAGTCAGCCGTCTGGCTTTCTGAAGCTTACCGGCATTGTCTAGTCGTTACTGCCGCCTACCTTCCGAAAAGAAATTTACACGCTTGGAGGGCGATTCCTTTGAAACCAGCACGTGTTAGGACAAAGAACGCATACAGCTTCAGAAAGGGTAAAGATGACATAAGAAAAGGATATGGTCTGGTTTAAGACCTTGTGCCACCAGGGCCAATTGTAATAAATAAAAGACCTCAGACTCGAGGTCATTTTTGAGCTAGGTGATATAATTCCTCCACTGTGTCTTGGCTGTGCACCAGGGCTTTCATTCTGTGGCACTTGAATAGAGCTGCTCCATTGGTTGTCTATCAGGTGGTAAAAAATAAGATTTTAGTTACTGCATTTGACTTCTCTCAAATCTGAAGGAACACGGCTATATTTCAAGGTCATAAACCCAAATTTCAGACTTTTGTAATCACAGCCTTGATGTTTCAAATATTACTCACATGTATCTTTTAGTCTAATTTAAGGTAAAGAAAAAAAAAAAAAAAAACTCCCAGGGACATTTTTGTACATTTTTTTGTACGATTTTACCTTGGGGAACAAAAATACATGGCTGTATCTTTTTTTCTGACAGTGCTTATGAAGAAGATCCCAAGTTACTTGATGTCCTTCCCTAACAGAGGACTGTAACACAAAGTTTAGGTGGGCCTGGATGCTTTTCTTTGTAAGAAAATTCTTCTGTCTTGCAACCCTACCCCATAATCCAGAAGAATATGGGAGATTATTGTCACATGTAGTACACAACCAGTACTTGCCCGAAATTCCTGTAGCTCCTTCAGTGTTGCTGTAGGCGTCTTGGCAGCCTCCCTGATCAGTTTTCGTCTCGTCTTTCATCAATTTTGGATAGATATGCAGTTCTCGGTTATGTCCCATATTTTCTCTTTCTTGATTACTGTCTTCAGTATGTTCCATGGTATATCTAATGCCATTGAATTTCTTTTTTGTATAGTTCTCCTGACTGATAGCTTTCAACAATTAGATCCTTTTGACGCTTTGTAAGCTCTCTGCAAACCATAGACTTTGCAATAGGATGCAACTGAGTAAATGTCAGGAAATTCCCACTAGGACAGCTGAACTTTATTTGGGTTAATCAGAGTCACTTTAATTGATGACGTGTACCAAAAAGGACTGAATGCTGTAATTAAATCAAAAGGTGCTTCAACAAAGTATTAGTTTAAGGGAGTGCACATTTATGCAACCAGCTTATTATACTTTTTAAATTTGTTTTATATTTTCCTTCAACAGATTTGTTTGTTTTTCAATTGAAATGTACAGCTTATAAGTCATATTAAAGGTAAGAAAACTTTTGAAATGTTTTATTGTGGTCTCATTTTTTTTTTACCATCACAAAACCTAGCATTTTAACAGGGGTTTGTACACTTTTCATATGCACTGTATAACCCCCAAACTAGATGCAAACTGAAAACTTTATGTATGATTTACTGTAACCCTGTACTGTAGAAGTGCTTATGGAAGATGGATGGATGGATACTAAGTTAAAGCTTGATTTATTTACATGAAGCCTCCATCTAGAACTAATATTAAAGACCTGTCTCTTGCTCTTATTCTGGATGGGATGTACAAGAAATAATTCAATATGATGCTTTCAGATGCTTTTCCTGCATGCATTGCGGTCAATGAGTCATATACTGTATATAGCACTATCATTGCAGTATATTAAACCATGTATAGCTACCATAAAACAACTGCAAGCACTTATGGTTCACATACATGGTGCCGGCTGTCTTGCTGTGATACTTGGACCTTACAAACACCTTGCTGTCCATTTAAAAGTTGCTCACACTAGTGTTTTCCTGGGCATCATTTTGGTGATCTACTTTAGCTTTTAGGGCTAATGACACTAAGACTTCTCATGTATGGTAATAAACCTACAGACGTTTAAGCCTTTAATTCATTTTAGAGGCAAATTCTACAATTTCTGCTCTCAAGGTGAGTAGTACCTTCAAATTTGACATGAAAATTATATTAATAATGATACCACATCGGCTCATATAAAATGTCTTAAGTTACGTAAATAAGTTGTACAAATTGCCTTTTCGACATAATTCAAACTGAGCTATATTCCTAAGGTGGACATTTTTTTAAATGTAATTTAACCACTTATTTTAAATGTGTAAAATTAATTACACTTACCATTTAGGCCTTTAAACCCTAGAATATATTGCGGCTTTGACACCTCATTACAATTTTACTAACTGCATTATGCTGTTCCAGTCTAATATGCCTTTGCGTGACGCGTCTCTCAGACACACGTGATCACTTCGTCATTCTTAATAGTTTTACTTTCTGGTACGAAATGACGACATCGGATGAAATTCAATTTCAGAATCACTTAACTGGTACGCAATCCAGTAGTCTTTTTCATATTTTTATTACCTGCTACATTACTTCAGCAGCTGAGATTCTTTTCTCAAAAGTAAACAAATTAGGAGACCAGTCTCAAACTACTTAAGAAAGCGCCAGCATAGGTACAGCTAGCCAACAACGCTTAACATCTGGTGAGTCATAAAAAGTTTTATATTCAAGAAATGGTTTCATACTTTAACTGTTACTGTGACGGTTATAAGCTACACCATGTCCTCAATAGCTAAGCGAGCTAAAACTATTTATCTTAACTTTTTTCTAGAAAAGTAACGGAACATGAAAATACGTTCTCGGGGTGCACATGGTTTTCCAGTGATTAACAAATGTGCAGTGTGTCTGCTAAAGCAACCACTACACGAGGACTGTTCATTCCTGCTCCTGAAGATCGACCACTCTGCATATCATCAGAAATAGAAATGAAAAGCCCCGCTTTACACAAATACTAACGTCTGCTTAAGTAAAATACTTCATGTGAAGAAATGGATGTAAGGTTTCAGTGTGTTCCTTTACATTATTCTAGGTGTAAAGAACAGCACAAGGTGGGCATGTAAAATTACAAATCGATGAATACTGCGTGTTTGAACGAGCGATTGAACTGTAGTGTGATTCATCATTTTATTCAGCATTGGTCAAATACGTATACCGAGCAGTACTGAAATATGAGTGAAGCTTTTTGATACATAGAAAGTATTTCAGGTACCTTTGTGTAATGTCTTGTTACAATATTAAGAAAACGCAACACTGTTACTTCGTTGCTTCTCTATAGCTGTTTATTTACTTCCTGTTCCTGATAGTGGATGTCACGTGTGTTTCCTCCGGCACTTTCAATTTCCCCCCACGGTCCAAAACCGTGCCGGGTTTCATTGTATTGGTGCCTACATTTTCTTCGTGTCTGTATGTTTTTGATTAAGGCAGGGAGGCATAGAAACAGAGGGAGCGGAACCAGTGGGATGTGCCCCCCTGCCCCCATCTCATCTCAAACTCTCTCTTCCGTCATTGCCTATCCTGGCCTGAGTGTACCCTTCATACATGTTAAGTGACAATTGTTACCATATATTATGTAGGCTTTGGCTGTAGTACGGTATGCCGTGGTCTTAATGATTTTGAAATTGGTCAGGGGTGGGTGGTGTATTGTGGGACTTAAACTATAATATTGCAAGTAAATATTCCCGTACTGTCATACAATGCAATAATACTGCAGCCACGGGGAGGAGCGTGCCCCTTTTGCCTGAAGGATTGAAAGTGTCCCCACATTTGAGGTTCTTATTGCTAGGGGTGGGTATTAGCACAGATGCCCCAACTTGATATGACTCCAATTCGCAGGCTAACGATTCAATTCAATTTTTATTCTGATGCAATAATGCACAATGAGTTCATTAGGAATGAGATATGAAATAATGTATAGCAACTTTCCAAATTTGGAAGATATTTAATAAGCTCAAAATGGATCACAAATTAACAAATGCAGTCACTGGAAACCAATTGTGAAAACCACTGAAGAAAAGACTGAAGGCTTGTATACCAAAATCCTTTTATTTTTATAACATAGGGGATTGTTAAAAACACAACCAACCTTTCTGTTTGAAAACACAAAAAAGACTACAAAAGAAAAGTGAAAATAACAATGGGCAAGTTCAAAACTGACATTCCATGTTTCAGAAGACTTTAACTTAAAGATGTGCCAAAATATAAATTGGGTCATTCCATGTCAAATCATCACACTTTCGGACCTCATTGTTATGGATTATAACAAAACTTGGCATGCTGATTTGTACACACGAGTAACTCATGAAACTGAAATTGGTCGAGTCTTGGATCAATATTGTGGGAGATTTAAGCAAACAAAGTTTTAACTTCTTTTTGGGGGTGGGGGCTATGACTTTGACTGGCTATATTTACCTTAATGTAAAGTGCACAGAAATTGTCCTTATATTGTTTTAAAGCAATTGTCTAGCTCTATAGATTGAACAAATAATATGCTATCATTACCATTTGAATAATTACTATGTAATAACTGATTAAAATATTAAAAATTCAATAGCAAAAAACCTATATTTCAAAATTGATGAGTTTTTTTGTAAAGCTAGATCATAATGTCATGAACATCTCCAGAAAATTTGGTCTTTGGTTTTTAAGGTGTTGCTGAGATATCTTGACTTAAAGGTAGTGTCACATGGTTACATATCACTAATGGGCCTTTTTAACGGCAGCCAAACTGACATGAAATAGTATAACAAGCACAGGTGTAAGTAATAACATTAATTAAGGTTACAAATATGCAACAATGAAATTTAATGGAAGCTTCATTAATGTCAATGCAGACACTTGTACTTGCCATACTATTGAAAAGGCCCACATGGCTAGTAAATATGGCTAATAAATGCCCTGCATTCATCAGAGGTGAGTGAGGTGTGCAAATCGGTCCAGTGTAAGTGCACACTTAGGGAATCACTCGACTTTGCAAGCATCAAAGGTTATATCATGGCTGCATATGACAATAATTGGTGGCTAGGATGTGTTGAAGAAGCTATGGATGTTTGAGGTCATTGTTGTGCTGAAAGGTGTACGTGCAAGCTTTCAGCTCGTCGTTATGTGTATATGTATGAGAATGGACTTTTTTGCATGTATCTGTTTCTTCATGGTTGTGTTCCAAGCCACTTTACAACAGTATTGTGCTCTGTTGCTTGGTGTTAGGATGTCATTCCTCTTAGATATATTGTTTTTCCTAGGTGTGATGAGATGAGGCCTCGTCAGAGAGGAGGGCACTTGGGCTTGCTCCTGCTGGGTTACCAGCTGCTGCAGATGGGCCTTGATAACATCCCGCCTGTCACACTGGCTGTTCTCGCATTGAACATTTACCTCTTCTTGGCCCCCCTGGCATCATCCATTCAAGCTTGTGTCAGTGTGCAGCAGGCCTGCTGGAACAGGGACTGGCGGCGTCTGCTTCTCGCTCCCCTGCACCATGTGGATGACTGGCACCTCTACTTCAACATGGTGTCACTCCTCTGGAAGGGCTCGCGTCTGGAGCGCAGACTGGGTGGGGCCTGGTTTTCTTACCTGTTAATTACGGTCACCTTGACCACAGGAGTGGTGTACCTGCTTCTGGCCATGGGTCTCTCTGAGCTCACCCAAGACTCTTCCTACAGCTTGCAGTGTGCGATTGGATTTTCAGGTAGTGTATTTGCCTGTGGCTTTTGGTTCAGGAAACATTAGAAAACAGTTTTATAATTAAGCTATAATTAAGAATTGATAGATTATGGGCTGATTTATTGTAGTGTATACCTGGGTTGTAATACTTTGTTTGACTCATACTTGAGACATATGTGGCTCAGACTTGCACTGGACCTAATCATTTCATGAGTTATACTTGGTTTTGGACTCGGTTGTTTGTAACATTATGATTTGTAATCTTTAGACGACACCTAAAGTCCATGCATCGCGCATTAACAGCTCCTTTTAAAACGTGAGAATCTGTTAGCCTACTAACTGCTTATTAGGAGAGGGGGGATCAATTCAGTTACGAATCATGGCGATTTTTAGATCACCACTAGAATAAAACTCACCCATCAATCCATGTTCTGTACCCACTTGTCCTGTGTAGGGTTGCGGGGGACCGGAGCCTATCCCAGAAGCCACGGGTGTGAGGCAGGGATGCGTGTATGTGTGTGCCCTGTTGTGGGTTGAGAAAAAAGGCAATCTGACCAATCAGAGCACTGAGCTCATTGGGGGTGTGGCTTAAAGTTCTAAAAGTGTTTCAGACAGGGTGAATAGAGATGTCCAGTATGAGAAATATAAGATGTTTTTTGGAATATTGAAATATGCAAATCCATTCTCGTACACATTCTCGTTTTTTTACTCAGTTTGTTAATACTCCTACCAGGGGAGAAGCCCTTCTTGATCTTGTTTTTTGTAATAACCAGGATAGGATTTGAAAATTAGAGGTTTTAGACCCATTGTACGGTAGTGATCATAACATGGTTAAATT